AGGAGTTGGAGGTTGCTGTGAGCTGTGATGCCAGGGCACTCTACCCAGGGGGACAGCTTGAGGCTCTGTCTCAAAAAAAAAAAAAAAAAAAAGAAATAAAACTATTAAATTGTTCTTTAAAACATCAAGTCCCAGGGCAGCACCTGTAGCTCAGTGGGTAGGGCAGCGGCCACATACACTGAGGGTGGCAGGTTTGAGCCCAGCCTGGGCCTGCTAAACAACAATGACAACTGCAACAACAACAACAACAAAAAAAATAGCCAGACATTATGGCATGTGCCTGTGGTCCCAGCTACTTGAGAGGCTGAGGCAAGAGAATCGCTTAAGCCCAAGAGTTTGAGATTGCTGTGAGCTGTGACACCACTGGATTCTACCAAGGGCAACATAATGAGACTGTGTCTCAAAGAAAAAAAAATCAAGTCTCCTCAGCAATGACTTACACCAAAGCTACTACACTTTTACCCAACACTGATACAACACTGGAAATTAACTCTAAAAAAAATATAGAGACTCTGAATTACTGAAGGTGAGTCACTCAACTAAAAATAGAAGTGCTAATGAAACTCTACAAACTAAATCATGAGGCTACTCCAAGCTTGTCTCTAGTTAGGTTACGTAAACATTGGCAGCTAAGTTGCAGGATAGAAAAGTAGAAAACTAAGCAATGTAAAAAATAAAGTTATCATGGCTCCATAGGAAACATAAAGTTGTATGAAAAATGGTCACATGATAATACTATCATGAGCTATAATATGTACATAGGATGATATACACACTGAATATTGATATAATTTCAAGAATATAGAGTGAAGAGAGGAAAGGAAAAAGGAAAGAAAAGTAGGAAGGGAGGGAAGGACAAAGAGAGAAAAAGAGATTGTGTGTGAGCGTGTGTTTGTGTCTAAAGGAACATATCACATTAATGATAATCATCATTATCCTTAATAGAAAGTCAAGAAAATAAAATTTTCTCAGAAAAAAAAAGTACATCAGAAAGAAAGACCAAAACAAGTAAAACAAGTGAAAATTTTCTCAAATTGAAAACTGAAAAATAATAGAACCCACATGTTATTTAAAATTCTTTGTATTTAAAAATTGAGATTAGGTAGGGTATGGTAGTTCATGTCTGTAATCCTAACACTCTGGGAGGCTAAGACAGGAGGACCTCCTGAGGTCAGAAGTTTGAGACCAGCCTGAATAAGAGTGAGACCTTATATATATCAAAAATAGAAAAATAAGCTGGGT